CCGACGCCGCCTGCTCCCCCGCACCGCAGCCCCGGCAGACGGAGATGTGCGGAGCACGGCCAGCAGCAGTGCCCTGTCCCGGCCCCTCTCCTCCTACACCCAGCCCTGGGGAAGCCACCGATGGAGCACACCAGCATTGGACAGCCCTGCCTGCACCCTGCCCGCACCCTGCCTGCACCCTGCCTGCTCTGCCTCTGCGGAGCAGCCAAGGGATGCCCAAATTCATCCCCTCTTGATCTCAGCAGCTCCAGCCCCATCTGGTTCTTGTTAAATCAGCCGCACGAGGTGGAGAGGGTTTCCTCCCCCCACGCCACAGCGTGCAAAGAGGGGGAGGTAAAACGGCTTTTTTGAGACATGGCTGCCCTTCTCTTTACCTTCCTGCCTGGAAGGCAGCCAGGAGCCGTTCACAGCCTCCCTGCTCACATCTGGAGGGGACCTTCCCCTCCCGGGGCTCGCTGCGTGCCCCACACCGGGCACTGCTCCTCTGGGCCTCGCTCCTCTCCTGTCACCGCAGCGGCTTTGTCCTGAGATGCTTTTTCCAGCCCGTGGGACTTCCCGATGTTTTCACCCTGGAGAGGAACTGGGCAGGCGAACCTCGGTCCTGCAGCACAGAGGGATGCTCTGAAACACGGTGGGATGCCTCGCAGCACAGAGGGGTGCCCGGCAGCAGGGAGGGATGCCCCGTGGCAGGGAGGGACATCCCGCAGCACAGAGGGATGCTTGGCTGCACAGAGGGATGTCCTGCAGCACAGAGAGATGCTTTGAAATACGGAGGGATGCCCCACAGCACAGAGTGATGCCCTGCAGCACAGAGGGATGCCCCGCAGCAGGGAGGGATGCCCTGCAGCACGGTGGGATGCTTTGCAGCACAGAGGGATGCCCCGCAGCACATCCCGCAGCACAGAGGGATGCTCTGAAACATGGAGGGATGCCCCGCACAGGAAGGGACTTCCCATAGCACCAAGGGATGCCCAGCAGCACGGAGGGATGCTCTGAAACACAGAGGGATGCTTCACAGCACAGAGGATGCCTCCGCAGCACGGAGGGATGCCCCGCCGCAGCCTGCTCCTGCCCGAGGATGAGCAGTGGCTCAGCTCCCCACTGGAAACACCCCAAAAGCAGACATTAGCTCATCCTCAGCCCTAAACCACCACAAAAACTTCCCAAAAATGGCTTGCACGCGCTGCCCAGCCGGAGCACCGATACCCATCTGCGCACAAAAGCGAAGCTGCAACCCCACTGCTGAGAACCCACCTCCCTCGGGCACGGGACCGCGTTTCGCCGGCATCCCCTAACAGCCCCAATAAAGCGGGTCCCCTCGCAACGCTGCAAGCCACAAACACCAAACACCTCGCAAGGCGAGGGGCTGTAAGCCCCGGGCGAGCGCTGGCACGGGCGGAGGAGCTGCAGAGCAGCTGCGGAGGAGCGGGATCGCAGGAACGGAGCCTGCACACCCGGTGGCAGCAAAGAAACGCGGAGGAGCGCGGGCAGGGG